TTACTTTGTGGGAATTTCATTTTTTTCTTGACCACAAAAAATATTTATAATTTAGGTTAAAATTTAATTTTAGAGTTCGGATCAAAGTTAAATCATAATTTGAGAAAAAAATTTTTTGTAACAAATTGCAGTAATTGTTTTGGGTGTAGAATAAATATCTACTAAATTTATTAATGAAAAAGATATTTAATTAATAATAAATATTTAAATGAATAATTAATTAATAATCAATTACAGTTTTTCTCAGTGGCTTTGGTGCATTTCTCACAACACTATTTACATTTGCACAACAGTTAATGCATTTCTCAAAACAAATAGTCATTTGTGCACATCCTAGTAGCAGTTTCTCATTGCAGTTGCTTTTGGACATGCATCATTGGCCTTCATACAACTCTATTGTTTATAACATCATTTGCTTATGTCGTGTCAGTCAAAATGAACTAAACTTGTGAATGCTTAATAGTGATTTCATATAAAACTAATAGTCTTCATTTTATTACTTGAGTCGTTTCATGCAAAAATGTTGAACTAGTTGTCAAAATCTGTCTAGCAAATTTTATAAAAAAATGTAAATCTTTATTTTCCTGAAAATGTCTTAAAAATTTAACAATTTCATGAATGATTTACAGACCTGTGTATCTTGTAGGTTCAGTTCCAATATGTACTGCAATATTGTTTAAAGTCATGCACAGCTCTACCCAAAGAAAGTTTAAGCTTGTTGTAAACAAGGGTGTATTTATTCTTTTGCACAATGCTGTGAATAAATCAGAATTGCAAAAGAGCACATGGACTAAAAATGTGAAACACACATATTCAGTGTCTTGTACTCAGATACCTCACTAAATGCAGTGATGTCTAACTTTACTGTAGTTTTCAAATGGCTGTGCAAATAGTATATAGTGCTGTCTTGAGCATTTTCAGGAAGTGTCAACAAAATCTGACTTTTTTGCATTGGAAAAAATGTAAAGAGTAAACTGTCATAAAGAAAACATGACAAAGCCATTTGACTATCTTGTTAAGAAACAATGGAGTCAGCACTTTTCATCTTGGTGATACTGACACTTTGATTGACACGAATACTTGCTTTGAGGAATGAGCTCTCCATTTTGAGCATGTGACGTGCTTTTGCAGGTTAGCATCTTGGTTTTGCAGTTTGTACTAATTGTTTTGAGAAATGCATTATCTGTTGTGCAGAAATGCCAAACCAAAGCGACTGAGAAAAACTTTAATAAAGTGATTTTAGTCACAATGAGTGTTTTTTTGACATCGACCAACCTCTAGCATGAGATGCATATGTAACGAAGGCCAGCTAGTAAAGTGCTATGCAGGTAAACCTCACGCTAGACGGCAGAGGCCAACAAACGCTAGAGGCCATGGTCTTAAACCTCCTAGTTGGAGCAACTTCCATGCAAAGTATCCTTGGTACAATCCCGGCTCAGACTGGGTTGGATGCAGTAGGACAGGTGAGTTACACATGGGGGCTTTTCTGGGACGAGAGTGAGGTTTAGGGGGATGAGTGTAACGGAGGCCAGCTAGCGAAGTACTATGCAAGTAAACCTCAGTCCTCTGACCGCTAAAGGTGCTCTTGCAACAGACCCTAGAGGCCATGGTCTTTAGCCTCTTTGTTAGAGCAACCAACTCCCATTCAAAGAAGCGCTAGTTTGACTGGCTCAGATTACACATATACAGTATGTGGAAATGAAAATGACAATGCAAAACTTTTCAAAAACGTAAAGAAAAATGATCGTTTAACAATCATTTTAATGGTGGACTACAGGGCGGTACAGATACAGACATACAGTGTTTATTTACAAAGTAACATTGCCATCTATTGGCCTGCCATGCACATTAAGGTTCATTTACTATTGATAAATTTTCCTTCATCTTAGTTTCTTATTTATCAGGGGTTGCCACAATGGAATGAACCACCAACTACCATCTCCAACACCAACTGGCAAATGTTTTATGCAGCGAATGCCCTTCCAGCCGCAACCCAGAACTGAGAATTATTTATACACTCTCACATTCACACACACACACACACACACACACACACACACACACACACACACACACACACACACACACACACACACACACACACACAGATCAAATTCGTTTACTTAATTCACCTACAGCGCATGTCTTTGGACTGTGGGGGAAACCAAAGCAAATGGAGGAAACTCACACGAACACGGGGAGAACATGCAAACTCCACACAGAAATGCCCACTGGCCCAGCCGGGACTCGAACCAGCAACCTTCTTGCTGTAAGGAGACAGTGCTAACCACTAAGCCATCATGCCGCCATTTACCATAGTCATTCTTAATTATTGCTCATCAGTGGAAATGTAAATAACACACAAACCTTTCAGTTGGAAAAGCAAAGAAAAACACGGTAATTTACTGGACTGTACAGGCACGGGCCTGAAGAGTGTGATGTAGAGGTCACAACTCATCATTTCACCTAATCACACTTCATGGGCTTTCAAAACTGCTCGTAACTCCAGGTTAAAAAGCATTTCACACGTCGTTTTCTAAAGGATGCTGTGGTTGTGTGCTGGGCCTGAACTGCTGTCGATACAGTGAGAAACACCATGATGCCAGAATGACGCTGTGGTGAGTTGTTTAGCCGCAGACATAAACAAAACAATACTCGTTAAAATATTCATGTGCTTTATACAGTCAGAGACGGTTCTGGCATCTGAAGGTAGCAGCAAAAGTCAATATGAAACTGTTCACAACCCATTTCACTTCTGTATTGGAGGGAATATCCAAGTGAAACAGGATATTGAAAGAGAAAAAAAATAGAAGGGATTTTTATTTTATGCATGAGGAATTGATTAGATTTTAAATTATAGATGGTTGAAGAAAAATAAGAAGGCTAAAGAATACAAACAAAGTTTTTCTTTCATTTTAATAATGCGCCAATGAAACAACAACACACAAGAAGATGTCACATGCAGTTTCTAAAGGCAGTTCCTAGAGTTCAAGTTCATCTCATGCAAAATACTCTATCATGAACCCTTAAAAACAAGAATTGTATGTCCTATAGTATTAGCAAAGCAACATGGAATGCCATGATTTATCTCATGGGTTGTGTTATGGTGTGTTTAGGAAACTTTAACTTTCAATCGTGAATATATGCTCTAGATAAGTGTATTATTGTTCACTAACTTTTGATAGCTACAAACCTATGTGAATTCATTTTGTGACCATTTTAACATGATAAAACTGTTTTTTAGGATGCAAAACACACTTTTGAATTCACATTTTGTTTACAATTTACAAAAATCACTAATGTCTTTTGAAATCTGCATTCATTTTTATTTCAGGCATAAAATTCAGAACTGCAAGTGAATAACAGTAATGGGGAACCTGAATAATAATAATAATATAAAATAACAATAAGTAATACAAAACAGGTGCAAAAATGAGTTTTTCTGTATTTCATCTCATATACTTCTCTGACTAAACAGCTTATTATACAATCACCGGCCACTTTATTAAGTACACCTTACTAATACCGGGTTGGATGCCCTTTTGCTTGAGAACTGCCTTAATCCTTTGTGGCATAGATTCAACAATGTACTGTAAATATTTATCAGAGATTTTGGTCCATATTGACACGAACGCATCACACAGTTGATGCAGATTTTTTGGCTGCACACCCATGATGTGAATCTCCTGATCCACTACATCCCACAAGTGCTCTACTGGATTAAGTTCTGGTGACTGTGGAGGCCATTTGAGTACAGTGAACTCATTGTCATGTTCAAGAAACCAGTCTGAGATGATTTACGCTTTATGAAATAGTGCGTTATCCTGCTTGAAGTAGCCATCAGAAGATGGGTACACTGTGGTCATAAAGGGATGGACTTGGTCAGCAACAACACTCAAGTAGGCTGTGGCGTTGACACGATGCTCAATTGGTTATAATGGACCCAAAGTGTGCGAATAAAACATCTCCCACACCATTACACCACCACCACCACTAGCCAGAGTTATTGATACAAGGCAAGATGGATTCATGCTTTCATGTTGTTGATGCCAAATTCTGACCTTATACCATCCAAATGTTGCAGCAGAAACCGAGACTCATCAGACCAGGCAACATTTTTTCAATCTTCCATTGTCCAATTTTGGTGATCTTGTGCCTGTTTCCTGTTCTTAGCTGACAGGAGCAGCACCCAGTGTGATCTTCTGCTACTGTAGCCCATCCGCCTCAAGGTTGGACGTGTTGTGTTTATAGATGCTCTTCTGCATACCTCGGTTGTAATGAGTGGCTGTTTGAGTTAATGTTGCCTTTCTATCAGCTGGAACCAGTCTGGTCATTCTCTTCTTAACTCTGGCATCAACAAGGCATTTGCGCCCACAGAACAGCCGCTCACTGAATATTTTCTCTTTTTCGGACCATTCTCCGTCAACCCAAGAGATAAGTTGTGCGTAAAAATCCAAGTAGATCAGCAGTTTCTGAAATACTCAGACCAGCCCGTTTGGCACCAACAACCATGCCATGTTCAAAGTCACTTAAATCACCTTTCTTTCCCATTCTGGTGCTCGGTTTGAACTGCAGCAGATGTCTTTACCATGTCTACATGCCTACATGCATTGAGTTGCTTGATTGGCTAATTAGAAATTTATTTTAACGAGCAATTGAACAGGTGTACCTAATTAAGTGGCCAGTGAGTGTATACTGCTGGATTAAACATTACAAAAAGATGAAAAGTTAAATATGAAGGTCAGCTAAATTGCAAACCTTAGCCTATTTGGTGGTCTAATCTGGTTGGTGGTCTAATAATGTATTAAGTATTGTAAGCTGTGTGGAGGTTACTGTAAAGTCTAAACGCTTCTGGTTTTAGAATGAAGATTTCAAAACCGAAAACCCCCAAAATAATGCTGCTATAATCTTATTCCCCACAACGGGGATAATAACAACCTGCCAATCACCCCACCTCCCCGCACACACCCTCTCTCAGCGTGTGTGACAGCATCTGACTGGTTGCTGCTCAGTCCACCGCTTGGTGGTGAGAAGTACAGGCACTCTGGCTCAGAGCGGGATAAACACGGGACGAAGGTGGAAAAAATACCAACTCTCCATCACGCGTTAGACTCGAATTAATGACCGTGTGCTCCTCCGGACCGGGAGATTTGTAGCTGCCGCAGTGGTTTGTTCCAGCAGCGGGCATTTGCTGCTTGGTACCCGGACGCGTCCGCAGTGCTGGATTTTGCAGTTCGGAAGTGGATGAGATCTACAGACCAACACTCTCCTATCACAAAACCTTGTCGTCATAAAGGTAAGGCAGCAAGTTGCATTAAATACCAGGCGATGAACATTCCTACTATTCTTCTAGCCAACTCTGTATGTCGATAACGCATTGATCTCTTGAATTGATTTTCACTCATCGATTGCACATCTGTTTCAATGGATTCCGCGCACCGGTCATAGCAGCTGGTCTATTTAGCCTTTCCCTATTCCATTTCAGCTCTCTACCTGTATCAAGGCCGTCTTATACCGAAGGGCATGAGGAAATTAGTATTCAGAGTTGGGCTACTCCTTTGCGACTGCTTCCGATCCAAGCGAGACCACTGAGCTTCTCGATACAGTGCTGTCTCGTCATGCGATACCAATTAGATTGTAAGCAAGCGGCAAATGTAGGACACAAAACGAAATGGGCTGAATGCAAAAAGTAAACGCTGCTGTTTAGTAAAGGGGCCGTTCATACGGGACGCGTTCTTGCGTTGGCAAGCGCCAAGGAGGAGCGCAACGAAACAGAACGGATCGCAGGTGTTTGGAAGTTAAGCAGTTGAACTGACTTAAGTCGCAGTACTCATGCTGAGAAGCGAGATTTAACTGGCAAAAAAGAGAGAAAAATCGTCTGACGTCCATACCAAAGAATTATGAGGTTGGTGGTTAATCTCAGGGCTTTAACAAACCTCCCCAAGGCTGTCAATCAAACACATTGTCAAGGGATCTTACAGAGTAGGCTACATTTAGGTGGTTTAATTATATATAATAGATAAGCAACATGTAAAAGCAACTTTTCACAATCATGATTAACCTCTGCGTTCTCCTGAGGCAGTAACCGTAGCAACAGTACACCGCACTTTCCGTTACAACGAACGGATCATGTCGCCAGACTATAAGCAGGGACTGTAATTATCACTTCACCTCAAGATTAACATATCGCACATACGATAAGACATAGACTAGTTCTCCCGGGGACGTCTTGTGATGTAGCCTATAACTTGCATACGCTGCATAAATCAATAATTAAAAATTGCGCAGACAGAACGCAAGAACGCCAGTGGCGCAAGCTTCATCCGGAGTGAGATCAATACACAGTAACGCTTTTCAGAACGCTGGACAAAGCCTGCTGTTGCTTGGCATATCAAGTCCGTCTCATGAATCAATTCTGGCTCATTTCATACAGACTTGAACATTTGAAATCATATTTCAATCACAAACAAGAGAGAATATGTTATGGGAAAATAATATTCTGACCTTATTTGAATAAAGGCATCTTAAATGTGAGGCTACTGTATGTAGCTAATAATTGAACCGAGACCTTGCAAAGGCACCTTGTTTGTTTGGTGATTAATTTTCCATTGGAGAGCCAGGGGACCATTAAAGTGCCCATTTTATGCCTTAAATATACTTTAAAAAAAGCTATAACCCAACCTTTGAGTTAAAAATATTTGGAGTTTTTTTGGGGTAATTTTGAACCTTTATTGTTTTTTTAATAACTCAGCAAGTTGGGTTAAATATTTGGTGTTTTGTTGGGTTATTTTAACCTTTATTAAGTTATTTGTTTAATAACTTAACCAGTTGGGTTAAAAACTTTGAATTTCAACAGTCAACTGATTTAACTGACACAGAACAGTAATAATATGCGTGCGTAATGCTGTTTTTGGGTTATAAACTTTATTTAAGCCATAGCAAAAAAATATTGTTGTTATTTTTTTTATTAAATTACCTCTACACGTCGTGTATTTTATATTCGTTTGACCAGCAGTCTTAATTACTGAAGATACAAACGCACTCTTCATAGCCAATCTGTATTGCATATTTTTGTGATGTGCGATATCGATGCTTAAATGATGTATTGTACAGCACTAGCACAAACTGACATTTTACATTCTTGACTTGCTCAAGTCATGCTTGCATTGATGGTTTGGATTGAGTTTTTATAATGTTTCATCCAACACAGACTCATTATGAAAATGTAGCCCTATATACATTTTTGGAGACTGCCAACTATGTAAATAGAGCTGACCGCTTACTGGACGGCTTTTCCCCTGTTACCAGTTTGCCCAGTAGCTCAACAGGTGCGTCGGTGGACTTGAGATGCAGAGCGGCATTGGTCACGACGAAGGGGTTAGAGTCAGGAGAAAAATGGTTTCAGAAAGCAGTTACGACAAAAATAGAAGCCAAATAAATAAATAAACAAATAAATAACAGGGTGAGAATGTGGTAAAATTGTAAAAAACATGGTAAAAATCAGGAAAGGGTGTTTAATTTTCTGGATTGCTTCTAAAAACACTGAAATTGGGTTTAGGAAAGAGGTGGGCAAATCAATCGGTCTGTTTTAAAACACTATTGGTTGGGTTTAGGGAGGGGGAAGGATGGAGGTATCGCTCGGTTGGTCAGTCAGTCAGTCAGTTGACAGCGGACTGTGGTGGATTTACGTGAGAACAGCAGGCATGAATGGCACTCGCGAGAGAAATTTGAGGTCTAAAAAAGTGTACACAGCAGCCTCCAGTGGATTCACGAAAACAAAAAAATGCAAAAAAAATAAATAAAAATGTAGCTCCTGAGATGTATTTTGCTCTCCCCAACAATGTATATAGGGGTACGTAATCAGAATGAGTCTGGGTTGGTTTCATCTCTGGACTCTGGATTGATATACAAAACCATTGCAAAGCAAATCCAATTAGATGCTGGTAATCATCCTACAGTTTATGACCTGTTCTTAAAGCAGTTCATCAATCACAATAGACTGGGCATTTAACCAATCAGAGCATAGCTATTTCTCAGAAAAAGCATAATGGGGCACTTAAAAACATGAACCCTATATAGTCTGATCCTGAGCAACTCAGCTATTGGTCTTAATGAGATAAACAAGTTCGTTAGCTATAGATAAAAAAGAAATATGAAGCTTATTACCCAACATTCAGATAACAGCCTCTTCGCATAACCATTTAGCCAGTTCAGCATGAGTCATGCTGCTCATTAGAAAAAACATACAAAAACTTTGTCGTCTACACAGAAGTGTGTGGTGCTGGATGCATGTCCTGATTTTGCCAAGCGCTAGTTGTCCTGAGATCAATATATTTTAGGATGATCCAGTGACAACAACTTCATCAGCCAATCAAACATTATCACGTCATCATTATGTGCCCCTTTCAGAGTCTGCAAAAATGTCCAAATTCAAAAAAAGAAAATATGGCTAAAATTCCAAAATAAGCTAACAAATATTGTTTTTAATTTTTTATCAGTGTGCCTAGCTATCAAACGTGACAAAACTAAACTATTCTGCATTTCAGGTGCTCGTCTTTAAATAAAATTGACATGATATATGCTAAAAACAGAACGAATATAAAAAATTACAGTCGCTATAAGTTAGCAAAAGGCTACGTTTAGTTGCTTTTGTGTCAGGCCCCTGTGTTTTCATCATGTGACCTTCCCCATGTGCTTCTTTGTTCTTTTTCCCGCCGTTTCATTATGTTCATCAGTTCCACCTGTGTTTCTCGCCTGTGTATCACCAGTGTCATTATGTCCTTGTGTATTTACTGTATGCCCCTTAGTTTGGTTTAGTTGTTGTCTGGTATTCTTAGTGATGTCTGTCTACACCTCATGTCGTTCCTGAGTTGCCTGTATTTCCTATGTCCTTCATGTGAGTGTTTATCAATAAATCTACGTGTTTGATAATTCCTGCGATCCTTTGCCTTCCTGAGAGACCCTGGGCGTGACAGCATGATAGCTTGGCACACTATTAAAAAAAATGCAAAACAATATTTGTTAGCTTTTTATATTATAAACAGAAAGTAAATTACACAAACGGTAGAGCAGCATGGCAAACAAGGGGCAAATCCATAAAGACATGAATTTTATGATCATTACTACTTCTGTAAATTAATAAAAGAAAACTAGTAATCTTACCTTTTTACTTGCCCTCTTCACTGATAAAAATGGCAGAGTTTTTGTTTGTATTTTTTTAAATTTGTATGTTTATGCATCAGAGGGCACATATTTATGACGTGACAATGTTTGATTGGCTGATGGAGTTGTTGTCACTGTGTTATGGAGCTAATAATATGCCAAAACAATCTGAATTTGAACTGTGTTCATTTTTATTACTGACAATTGTGATTTAATAAATCAGTATGCCTTCAACATAGTTTTTTTGTTTGAATTTCTTGTTTTGAATTAGATTTTTTTTATTTTGAATTTGAATTTCGTAACTTGAATATTGAACATCTGAAATGCAAGACAGCTAAATTTTTCAAGCCTGATTTTGTTTTATTAATGTATTTTAAAAATTCAGATTTTTTTGTTTTCTGAATTGTTCTGACAGCAGATAATGGGTTTATAAAAATACAGTTTCAAATGTTCAAGATGAAAAAATTGAGTGGTGTATGTAAGAATTTACTGGTGTATGTGAGGCTCAGGAGGACACCATTTTTCTGCAGACTGATCACCTCTGACCTACTTTCTGCTGAATCTCAATTTCACGATCTGAATTTCTGGTTTTGAATATCAGAATATTAAATTTGATGTTTAGAATTTTTTTTCATCTTGAAAACCTGAAGCTGTATTTTTATAAACCTGATATCTGCAGTCTAGAAATCCAGAAAAAAATCTGAAGTTTAAAAATACATTTATAAAGAAAATTGTCTTGAAAAATTCTGTTGTCTTACATTTCAGATGTTCAATATTCAATTTATAAAATTTTAATTAAAAAAAAAAAATTGAAATTAAAAACTATTTTAACGGCATATAAGAATTCAGATTTATTAAATTATAATTGTCTAATTCAAATTAACACAATTCAAATTCAATTCAGATTGTTTTGGCATATTATTAGCTCCATACTGCGTCTTAATAAATATATTACACGGGGCTTCAGCATCAACGCTTGACTGAAGGCGTGTCTGAAGTTGGGGCTGTTGCGATCGTCATATCAGCGTCAGCCAATGAAATTCAGTCAGCAATATGCCACTGTCTAGCTGGTGTATTTGCATACAGCGATCTGATTGGCTGACGCTTCCATCGGTGCTTGAAAAGTTGAGCAAA